TTTGCATGTCAAGTCTTGATTCGAAAAAGCTGAAGAAAAATGAACTAGAACATGTTGCTAGAAAGCATCAAGGTTCAGATTAGAGTCTGCGTGAAGAACGAGCTAAGACTCAAGATCAAGACTAATAGATAAGAATCTTGTAACTCATAGCTGATAAGCTTAGTCAGGGTGTGTTTGGTATAACGGAAAATATTTTCCGTGGAAAATGGTTTTCAAGAAAATATTTTCTTGGAAAACAAGTAGTAATTTATTCATTTTCCGGTGTTTGGTACGCAAATTAAGAAAAATGACTTCTCTAGAGTATTCATAAATAATTAGATATAATAAACATGAAGCCATAAACTTTCAAACCAACAACTTTTCGAATCCACAAACTTCATAAACTTTCGAACCGCTAAACTTTCAAAACCGCAAAATTTCGAACCCGTAAACTTTATAATTTCTAAACCCATAAACTTGCAAATACATAAACCTCTGAACACATAATTTTGGAACTTGTAAAATTTTGAACCTTTAAACCAATAAATAAAAAAATTAAGACTGAAAAATATATTTAAAAAATATTTTTTTAGGGGAGGGGGCGGCAGTAAANTGGGGTGGGTTGGTGATGGTAGGGAAGGTTGAGAAGGAGTTTTGGAAAATGTTTTCCCTTCTCTTGATAAGGAAAATATTTTCCTCCAATTGGAGGAAAATGAGTTCATAAGGAAATTTTTTTCCAAAACATTTAAGTCAACCAAACATAAAAAAATTGGAAAATATTTTCCGGAAATATTTTCCTTCATACCAAACACACCCTTAGTCTTTTTTATTTTTGACTTTGGTATAATAAAGAGCTCAGCAAGCAGTAACAACATCAACAACAGTGAAATTATAAATTCTCGGTAGTCTCAGCTACCAAAATTTTCAGAACTACACTGACCTGATTCCTTATAGCCAAGGATATGTAGGCAACTTCCAAAGCAAAGGTTGGTCAAACTTTTTCAAAATGCTTCCAAAAGGGTATCAAACGGGCAAAAATTATTCATAATTGCTCACTTTATCTTTGCCCCAAAATTTTCATGTTTCTGAGCAAAGAGGGGCAGCTATTAGCACCTAATTTTTGCCCTAATGCAAATCAATCCTAAAAATATTCCAAAATAGTTTAGAGTTGTTCATGCATATTTAGAGTTGTTTTAAAATCATAAAAAATATCCAAATCTTAATTTTTCATGGCCTCTTAGATTTTAAATTGCATTTTAGGATTTAATTACATTGCTAAATGCATCTTTTAAATAACTAAAAATAAAAAAAATTGCATTCTTAGGTTATTTAATTAATTAGGTCATTAGTCAATCATTAGGTAAAAGAGATAAAATAGGCTAATCATATGAAAATGGGTTTTAATTAAAATTTGAGTCCAAAATGGCTAATTTTCAAAAGGACTAATACAAAAAGAAAAGAAAGAAGGTTGTCTGCCCTCATTTGTTAATTGAGCTAGTAATTTAATTGTCCCAAAGCTTAGCCAGTCAAAAAATCTGCCCAAAACCTGTCGGCCCCAAGCCCAAGATCGTCCAAAAACCACCCTCCTAAAACCCTCACTAAATAATCCCTCCCCTTTTCATTTTCTCAGATAGAGACGGATCACCCTTCCTAAAAAACCTAATCGGCTCCTATTTAAAGAGAAGAAGAAAAACGGCGCCCCATTTTCATCCAAAAAACAGAAGAAACGAACGAGACCCATCCCTCAAAAACGAAAAAAAAACTCAGTCACCTCCCTCCTCCTCCTCTTCTTCTTCTCTCTCAAGCAGCCACCTAATTCCGCCTCCCTCTTCAAACGAGCTTCACAAACAAAGCTAAAATTGGAGTCTGGATCGAAAACAAATTTCAAGAGCAATAAAGAAAATAAAAGGCGAACAAAAACACAAGGAAATAGTTTGAAACATCGAATTTCTGTCATTATGGAAAGTTGTTGTTCATGGTTCTGGGTTTCCTAAAGTTATTCTATGTCGACGCATTGCTGAACTTCTGCTGTTGATTGCTAAAATTTCTGCTGAACATTATCCGAATTTGGATTTTCCTTCATTTGGCTTATCTCAGTTATCTCTTTGTTTGATTAGGTAAGTTTTAAACGCGTTGTATTATGCTTTCATTTGAATAATTAAAATCAAAGTTTTAAACCCCTTGTATTATGCTTTCATTTGAATAATTAGAACCGTTGGCTCCTGATTGGTTTCTATGAATTTGTTTGGCTCCTGATTTTTTTGCAATTGGAATATGTAATAAATGTAATTTTGTGTCAACTTGGACTTCATTTGAATACTATAAATGTAATTAAAAGCATGGCTGAGTTCTAAGTGGTACTGAATGTTAATAGCAATCATAGAACAAAACTTTTTCTCTAAATTTGTATAAAAAGAGAGTTTAAGGATGATTGTAAATCATTAAAATACCACGTGAGCAGTAGGCATCAATGTATACAATTTTAGTCAGGTATAGATTTGGACTGGTCTTGTATAAAAATTGTGCTATTTCCATAACTTGCAATAGCATGTCTCCTGTAAGTGCCAAGTCTTGAGCCTGACATTTAGCAGGCCCATTTTCTAGAGCTATTACATGTCAAAATAGCACGGTATAGCCAGTTTTCGGACTGGTCAATCAAAAATAACCACCATTTACGAAGTCAATGAAAAATAGCCACTATTTTGCTGCAATAGAGACCGGTCCCGTATAATATACTGGAGTTCGGGTGCATCTGTGTACGAACTCCAGCATATTATGCTGGACTGGTATACTTTGCTGACTCCAGTATAATATATGGGAGACTGGAGCATCGGTGCTCCAAACTCCAGTATATTATACTGGACAATTATACTTGTTGGAACTCCAGTATTATGCTGGAGTTCTAGTGTACTTATGCTGGAACACCAGTATAATATGCTGGAGTTCCAACATACTATCCTGGAACTCCAGTATAATATGCTGGAGTTCAACCATACTTATGCTGGAACTCCAGTATAATATACTGGCGTATTTTTCGGGTTTTGAACAATGTTTTCGCTCAGATTTATCTTTGCATGAAAAGTGACTAAATTTAAATTACTTTTGAAACTCGGCTATTTTTGAACGACCAATTGTAAATCTGGCTATTTTTGAATTTCTCCCCTATTACACGAACCAGAAGGCCCTTTTGGCTCATTGAATGACGAGGACTTTCTTTGATAAGAGTATTGCAGTACTTAATTTAATTACAATTGGCAATTCTAGGTGATAGCTTATAACTTTAGATAAGCCTTTAGATTCAACCTTTCAACAAAATAATTTTCCTTTGCATAAGAAGTTATTGTACTAGCACGGATCTACTTTTGGGGGTTGTGTCGATATCCTTGCCTGCCCAACCTTGTAAAATTAGAACCTCTACATCAATTACAAATTTAGTTTAAAACAAATAACTTATTAATATTCGTAGTATGTTTTAGGGGCATTCTAATATATCATCGTGATTATGTACATCTTCTCATAATATAATTGTGATTCCAAAAATCAAAGTACGCGTTCGTGCGACTTTGGCCAAACAATATTGAATTATAAAGCGTCATAATTGTGTACACGTACGCGTAACATAATTTTAACACCCCAAATAAAGCAGATTTACACACATGTAATCCGTTTGAAAGATTAAATCCATAAAATGCCATAATTAAAAGCTGTAAATAGGTAAACCGTACGTAGGTTCTAAAAATGAGTAAATAAATAATTTAATTAAGCCAGGTATGATTAAAGCGACTGTGCTAAAATCACGGAACTCGAGAGTGTCTCACACCTTCTCCTGGGTTAACAGAATTCCTTACCCGGTCTTCTGGTTTCGCAGACTTTAAAATAGAGTCAAATTTCCTCGATTTTGGATTTAAAATAAACCAGTGACTTCGGACACCCTAAATTATTTCAAGTGGCGACTCTGAATCAATGAATAATCCCATTTCGAATAATGTCACTTAAATTGGAAAAACTCCCATATCCCCTCGGGAAAAAGGAGGTGTGACACTAAGTAAAATTTGCGGAAGCCAAACCAATCAATACCAATTATAAATAGTGGTGGGCATAAAATCCGAAAAACCGAATTCCGAACCGAACCAAATTAATTTGGTATTTCGGTTTCGGTTTTTTCGGTATTTCGGTCTAATTCGGTACTTGAATTTCGATATTTCAATATTTCGGTTCGGTTTTCGATTTTATAATTGAATTATTTCGGATTACCGAAATACCGAAATTTGGTAATATTAATACAGCTCAAACCCCAAAGGCCAAAGCCCCAAACCCAATTACATATTTTATTTGACTTTGGCCACAGCCCACACGCCCACACCCAGGCCCAGCTGTGCCCCTGCCCCTGCCCCAAACCCAATTCTACCTTAGAGTCTTAGAGGTTTTCCCAACACTCAACACAACAGTCCAACACTCAGAGTTTTGGTGTTAATAGTTAATACACTTGGGGTCTAGGGCTGGGAGTCAGAGATATCATCGAGAATTCCAGATCGAGATAGGGTATTAGGGTTTGCTTACTGCTTCAGCCTTCGGTGCTTAGGAGATATCATCGAGAACGAGAAGAAGAAGACGAGAATCGACTGCGACTCTAGGATATCAGTCTGCGAGTTGAGTTACGACCAGTCGACGTTCGAGCTCGAGTGTCATCTCATATTGACCGGTTAACTTCACTACTTTTGTAAGTTTTGTAAGTCTCATCTCATTCTCATGATCTCATCCCAGTACTCGACTACTCTCTGAGGTTTTTGTTGAGATTTAATTTCTGATTTTCTGCATCAAACTATTTTAGGGTTATAGGCGGCGATTTCCAGCTCGATTCGATTCCGGGCAAACGAAGTGTCGAAGACGCTGCTGTCCT